TTTCCAGCTGAAGTATTCTCTGATATCCAGCCTCTGATCAGATCAGTTCTTGATGGGTTTAATGTGTGCATTTTTGCCTATGGTCAAACTGGTTCAGGAAAAACTTACACAATGGTAAGAGTGCTGGGCTCAAACAAAGTTGAATTGATAATAGTCTTGAGGATATTACTAACTGGTGTCTGACATTTTGTTTTTTCTTAGAGTGGGCCAGGCACATCAAAAGACGATTGGGGTGTTAACTATCGAGCTTTAAATGACTTGTTCGACATCTCTCTAAGTAGAAGAAATGCTTTCTCATATGAGGTGGGGGTGCAGATGGTTGAGATTTACAACGAACAAGTGCGGGATCTTCTTTCAAATGATATTGCACAAAAAAGATATCCTTTACCCAAATGCTTACTTTCTATTAGAATCTCTCTCATTATTACATTTTTAGTACTCGCATACTATTAGACATGCACAGAAAAAAAATGTTGTTCTTGACAAAAAGAAACACTTGGAATTTGGAGCACATCTCAGCCTAACGGACTTGTTGTCCCTGATGCAAGTTTACATCCTGTCAAATCAACATTGGATGTACTAGAGTTGATGGAAATTGGACAAACAAATAGAGCAGTTGGATCAACAGCTCTGAATGAAAGGAGCAGTCGATCTCACAGGTATGTACCATAACCAATGTTACTAGAATTGACTTCTCTTACACAATATTGAATTTTAGTAGGTTCATTAGATTTCATGCTTTGATAGTAAGATAAAGCACAATGGTAATATTATTCTAAAAAAAAGGGCGTACCCAGTGCAGAGAGCTCCCGCTCTGTGTGGGGTCTGGGGAAGGGTGTCAGTGGCAAGCCTTACCCTCGCCTGTGCAATGCAAGGAGACCGCGACTCGAACCCGGGACCTTCCGGTCACAGGCTGTTTATTATATTCTAAAAAATGATAACAAAATCATAATTGTCATTCTCTGTTTATTATATAATCTCTAAGGGTAAATAGTACATAATCTTAGATAAACAAATCTTAATCTCGGTACATATCTTTTTAGAATAGTTGGATCTACTATTTGCGTACCTTTTTTGGATCAAACAATCTAAGGTAAATACCCATAAAATTCTTGTGACATAATGTTCTGAAAATTTTTGTTGCATGCAGCATTCTAACTGTGCATGTTAGAGGGGTGGATTTGAAAAATGGATCTACTTCCAGAGGATGTCTACATCTGATTGATCTTGCTGGGAGTGAAAGAGTTGAGCGATCTGAAGCAATTGGAGATAGATTAAAAGAAGCACAGTATATTAACAAATCTCTCTCTGCTCTTGGTGATGTGATTTTTGCTTTAGCACAGAAAAACGCCCATGTTCCTTATCGAAACAGCAAGCTGACTCAAGTTCTACAGAGCTCTTTAGGTAACATATAGTTGTTCTTAAAAAAAAAAGGGCATAAAGTAGTTGTTAGTTTATATATGCGGATATATTACTTATGATAATTCTCTTCTGTTTTCATGCAGGTGGACAAGCAAAGACACTAATGTTTGTTCAAATTAATCCAGATACTGAATCATATTCAGAAACAATAAGCACTTTGAAGTTTGCTGAAAGAGTTTCTGGAGTTGAATTAGGTGTTGCAAGAAGTAACAAAGAGGGTAAAGATATAAAAGAGCTGCTAGAACAGGTTTTTGCAACTGTCTCATATATATTCAGAAAATTTCTGTTTCTGTACAAACTTCACTAGGAAGCTAACTTTGTACAAACTTCACTTGATTAGTTTAAAGGGGGAAGGTTTCTTCGATATCACTAATTCAACTCAAATTAACTGTTAAACCAAAGAAAATGAAGGACATGTTTGTTCAACCTTATAGGGTGCATACTTATGCTTCAGCATATTGATACTAAATTCCACGGGAAGTATATTACTGTTAATAATGTTTGCTGATACTGGCAGTTGTTACTATAACTAGAGCATATAGCTTCAGCGTCCTATGGTTATCTTGGTTTCAAAAGTCAATTGTTTTTTTTGTCCAGGTTTCATATCTGAAAGACACAATATCACGGAAAGATATGGAAATCGATCAACTCTTGAAGGACAAAGCCAAATCTCCAAGTTCACCAATAGATAGAAATGACAACAGCCTACAGATTCGACGACTATCAGGTAAGGGATTTATGTTCTAGTGGCAGAGTTTCATTATACCCTCAAAATCATTCTGTGGTGAATGGAATCAGTAATGGACGCACTTCACCCTCTAATGTAGGGGCTGGTGGATCAGGTGAAGCCGAATGTGAAGATAACATGTCTGATGATGGCTGCTCAGTAGCAGGAACTGAGTGTTCTGTAGGTGGTGCTTCAGAGGCGACAACAGAACGGATGTATGTTGCTAACATCTCAACTTTCCACATCTCTTATCCCTTACCATCATCTTTTTTTTTTTTTACTTCAATATCACATACTAGTTAAAATCTGCTGGGCTTCCCATAATTCTTTCGCTACATATGTGTCAGCAGCAAACAATCTACCTTTTTTTTTACCCTTTCAGTAACAAATCCTGCTGTTTAAGCTATGCTCTACAATTACAGGCAGAAGGCCCCATCAAGGATAGCCAGGCTGTTCCTCACAAAGAATGGGCAGCCTGCAAACCCCAAGCCAAAACCAAGGGAGTCTGCTCTGAAACCGCCAGGTACATTAGAAACGTGAACCACTTGCATGCTACATAGAAGTAGGCGTTGCTGCCTGGTATCACTTATTCACTTCACTGGTATTAAATCAAATTGTGCAGTAGCTGATCGATGCTTTTACAATTTGCGAGCATCCCTGGGCATGATACGATCCTATGATACTGATGAACACTCGTATTCGTTTACAGGTCGCACGACTTCTACAGGAAGCCAGGCGACAGGAGGAGGATCTTCAGTGAAACCCCCAAAGAGGCGGTAGAGAAATAAAGATTCCAGCATCTGAGGTCTGCCATGTTGATGGCTGATGCTACACGTCTGTAAACCGACTCGGAGATTGTGCTGAAACACAACGGGTGGTGCGATGTAAGGGTATGTCACTGTAACGGGTTCACTTGTCAACGGTCTGTTGAGTAATGCTGATGAGCAGCCGACTATAGGCTGGACGTTTGATGGGAAATGTTGTTGCATGTGCAGCAGGCGCGAGAGCGCCGTTGCGTTTTGAGTTTAGGCGGCTCTGCTGAGGCCCAGGCCTAGACCCTGTCTGCCGAATCTCATTTTGGCCTTGGCCGCGGTGCTAGGATCCTATTCTGTTTCAGGCGAGAAACAAAAAGTACAAGAGCTCTTCGGCGACGTCAAAGAACCAAATGAAGGATCTCGGGCCATAAAACGCGCGAGACGGTGTATTGGTGTAAGGCGCACACGGCACAAAAAAAGTAAAAAACTGCCAAGAACTGAACTTTGCAAACAAAAAATAAATTGCAGTGAGCGTACACTGAACTATGCAAACAAAAAACAATAAAAAGCTGAATTTAACTGTGCAAACAAAAAAAATTAAAAAAAAAAAAAAATATGGTGACCGTACACTGAACTGTGCAAACAAAAACAATAAAAAGCTGAACTAAACTATGCAAGCAAAAACACTGAACTGTTCAAACAATGAGCTGAACTGCCTTTCAAAAAAAAAACAATGAACTGAACTGTACAAACAAGAGAAATAAAAAATAAAAAGCTCAACTGAACTGTGCAAACAATGAACTGATCTGCCTTTTAAAAAACAATGAACTGAGTGCAAACAAAAAAATTTAAAAAATATAAGCTGAACTGAACTGTGGAAAACAGAAAAATATAAGCTGAACTGAACTGTGCAAAACAGAAAGTTAAAAATATATGCGGTGAGCGTGGATCGAACACGCGACCTTCAGATCTTCAGTCTGACGCTCTCCCAACTGAGCTATCCCCGCTTTGATATGCAAGTAAAAAAGTAAACTACTTAACCAAAGTATCTAGAAAATGGCAGTGCTGTGCTGCTGACCGCCCCTTGTAGCGAATCTTCCGCGCACAGGCACACGGCTGTGTTTAATTTGTGGTACGTAAGCTAAAAAAAATATGTACTTCAAGCAAAATACCTAGAAAGTGACAATGCTGATGCTACTGTTCTTCTGCGCGCACTGTGTTTGACTCATGAGCTAGCTCTAAGTAATTTTTTTTTATATTTTAATAGAAAAAGGAGAAAAACTAGCTCTTGATCAAGAACAAGGTTCATACATATATTTTAAGATTATGTGAAAGTGTCATATGGGCCTATCCATTTTATCACTAGGTGCTCTAAGTGTCGCTAAGATGGCGGTGTTACTGAGAAAAACGAGAATGGCCCTGTCATTGTCTTTAAATTTGGAGCATTGTCTTATTTATTTTTTAGAGAAAAAATGTTTTTTCTCTCACACAGAATCGGTAGAAATCCCGGTGGGTCCTGAAAGTTCAGAAAACGGAACCAATAGGGTCCCCATCCCTCCCACGGTCCCACCGCCACTACCACAAGGCCGCAACGAAGAGATTATAATAATTCCATGATAATAAATTAAGATAAAGAAGTAAAATGCTCGTACATAATGGCGCAAAGCAGCTCAACGAAAAACAAAAGCGCTTTAGTGTTCCAAGAACATCTTTAACAGAACGCAGAACATAACGATATTCGGACGGATGGTACACAGATACAGTTGGATCAGCCCCTGGCACAATGATGTTGCATCATGCCATTGCCACCCCCTCCCCTCTTTCGAGCTGTCATCTGCCGCCCTTGTCCCTCTTTACCACACAAAGAAAGCTAGCCAAACAAGCTTGGAGCCCCACTTCATGCCCATTTTGATCCGTCCTTGGCTACCACCACACGCTCGTGTCCCTACGATTACACTGGCGAACTCAAATCAAATTCACTAGAAACTGGTAGAATTTGGCACCTCTTGTATTCAAAGTTCAGCCGTGTCTATATATGACCATGACCTACTAGAGCAGTAGAGCACCATGAGCTAATAATCCAAGCAGAACCACTCATGTCTACTGCGTCCTTTGTCACCTACCTTCAGAGGCCCCGGTCACCGGCGTTCCGGGCGCCACCGCCGTCCCCGGTCACCGGCGTTCTGACTGGCAGCAGCTCGGGGTCGTCCGGGTACGGCGAGTGTCAGGATGACGACGATATCGGCAAGTTCCTGCGCTGCTCCGCCAGGGTCCCAGTGCTGCGGCTGCCGGAGAGGCCCGGCCCTCGGAGAAACAAGAAAGCGGCCGCCTGGGCACCGCCTGTCGTCGACATGCGCCTGTTGGACTCACTGTCGTCGGTGGAGGGAGGAGGGTCCGCGGTGGAGGCACTGAGGTCGGCGGCCGTCGCGTTTGGCTGCTTCCAGGTGGTCGGCCACGGGGTCGACGCCAGTTTGCTATCGGCAACGTTGCGTGCTGCAAGGTCGGAGGGATCGCCGGCGCAGGAGATGGAGAGAATTGGAGTAGGAGACGAGGATGAGCTGTGGTGGCTGCGGGGCGAAGGAGACCAAGAAATGGCCGGAACTCAGCCGTTGCGAAATGGTCCCAACCAATTCAGGTATGAACTTTCCATGTCAATAGAGAAACTCAGCCATCGCGAATTCACAATGCACCACGCCTTTGGATTTTGCTGGGTCACAGGAACAAAGCAGATGATTTGTTTACTCAGCTTGAGCAAGCTTCAACCAAGCTCCTGCACGCCTTGCAGCAGGCCAGTGCATCTGAACCGTTGGCTAAAGCTGAAGCGAACGGCTCGCTCCTCTGCATCCGCAAGCACCGACGCAGCGGCAGCAGCGCGTCCGGTCCGATCAGCCAAGATGACGTCCTGCGGATGCTGGTACAGAGCTCGCGGTGCTCGCGCGCTCTCGCCCTCCACCTCTGCCCCGGCGCGGCGGCGTTCCACGTCTTCTCGCGGCGAGGCTGGTCCAGGTTCTCGCCCCTTGACGGCGCCCTCGTGGTCACCGTCGGGGACCAACTACAGGTGATAAATGCATCTTGCCATCAAACTCGAAATTGCAACAGCAATTAGGAAAACTGAAACCATCCTGCGCAGCTAAAAAGAAGGCCAGCAAAATGTGTCCGCACTCCAGGCCTGCGAACAATAATTGGACTGAAATGGGAAGCCAGGGGCACATTGCCAATTTGCCATCACTGACATCATTGTTCATGATTCAGGCCTCGCTACTGACCTGTTTCGTTTCCATGGATGCAGTGCGGGCTCTACAAAAGCGTGTCCGGCAAACCAGCTTACAGCAATAATGATCTCCAAGGAGACAGCAGCGATACCATCTCAGCAGAATTCTTCCTTTCCTGCTCTTCAGCAGGCGCAGCAAAGGAGGCTCTGAACATGGACAACATGAAGGTCATCCCGTTGAATCTGCAGATCATGGTAGCAGCTTGCCTTGTGCTTGTTTACCATGTCTTCCTGTCATGCTCGTATGCTATTTGGTAATGTTCAGCAATACAGCAGTTGCAGGGCTTGTTTCCCTTTGCTGAGTATGCAAGTATGCAACACATTTGCCACTGTTAGTCAGCCTAAACATCAGAATGAACAAACCCAAATTTTGTCTCAGTTATCGGAAGGAAAGTGCTCCTAACATAGTATCTACCTCTACATACTATGAACCTGAATCTGCTGAGACACAAGTATGAAAATCTGATGTGAATAAAAATTCAACAGCTGCAGTATCAGATGGTACTTTAAACAGGTTCAATGATTCATCTATTCATATAAACTACGGAGCTGCAATCCAGGGTTTTAAGATCCCTTTTTTTCAGTATTAGTGCATGAAGACTTAGTAATAGTGCATGAAGTCCCAGCTTCCTGTATGTAATTCCAAAGTCTCAACCCCACCCAAAAACATACAAGAGTTAAACTGACTACTCTTACCAGGGTGTGAAACCACACTAGTTTTACCTGGACGCAATCATAGTACAAGTGATTAGAAAGATGTAATCGTCCAGCACAACAAAAAGAGAACATGCTAACTATACCTCATGATAATAGATTAACAGTCAGGCAGGGACCTTGAGGCCCTGACACAACTAGGCTGGAGTTCGGTTATACTGATCAGGTGTACACATCTGGCAAAGCCTTACACTGCTAATGTCCACTAAATTAACGATTAATACGAACTACAAAACATTTACTACTATACATGCTAGTCTATAATCAAGAACGATAGCAGATGCCTTCACAACAAGACTCAGGGTACCAGTATCACTGAGCCGCATTCAGAACTCGCCCGCACATAGGAGCTGCTACAGTGAACTAGCTACATCAAAAGATGGTGCTGACAGGATTCCACATGAAAAGATTCCTAGGATACAGTACGACCATAGCATACTGATGCTAGGTAGAGATTCTTAGACCATTTGTGCTGCAATGAAACAAGAGTGCATTTTGTCAGAACCAGCGGTCAGTTGCGATAAGATACTGAATGAGGTACTGCAGGCTTGTTAACCTTCACATGTTGACTAGGGAAAGCAGTTGTCCTCAGTGTCTCTTGGGTTTCATCTGTAGGTCGCCTCCTTGGTACACTTAAAACAAAAGCAGCCTGATCCCAGGTTGCAGCAGTTGCGGTTATCCGGTAACCACTGTCCCACCTTTTATGAATTCCCTCACTGGGATACAAGAAATCCAGTTCAACAACCTGGAAAGTAAACGGCAATAGTTCAATAAGAAATATATCACACTTAACCTAAGTGTAAAAATAAATGCTGAGAAGGGACTGATGAAGTGGAAAAAAACGCTACCTGATCAGAAAACCCAGCATTACGAGACATGACAACAGCCCATCTACTTCCAGCAGTTGCCATGGAAGTTACATAGAAACCATCTCGCCATTTCTTGTTTATCCATTTGTAGGGGAAAGTATCACTAACTTTGTAGGACTGTTGTGTGTAGGCTGTGCCTGGATAGATATAACTATAGTCACAAGAATATTCATATACTAAGACACAACTGCAAGCTTTAGCTGCCTTACCTTTAGACATCACTACCACCGAGCTGCCATTGTTTGCCCCAGCAAGCGCAGTTATATAGTAGTTCCTCTCCCATTGCTCTATTATCCATTCCTTCACATGGAAATAAACCACCATTAGATTTGGCAATGTAGAGAAGAGAATAGCATGCTTAGTAACTTTACTTGACAAAGTGATTATTTTGTAAAAATTACATAGAATGAACCAAGGTGCAGATCACTCACTTTGTGAAGGAAATGTGGTGTAAGCTCATAAACTTGGGAAGTGAAACCAGTTCCAGCATCCATGATTATAGCCCAGAGATTGGAACAAGATGTTATGCAACTGATAAACAGTCCATCATCATTCCCTTTTTCAATGTGCTGTACAAGCCTTGAATCTGCAACATTGTAGTGGTACCTGCAGTACCCAGTGAATTTGTTGAATTACTTTGGCCCAGCCACAAAGACACATGATATGATAGCAATTAACTAAACTTCAGGTCTTATAAGAGTGTACCTTTGTTTCATTGGCCGTCTGCCATTATAGACACTTATCCACTGTGTTGCAGGCATTCCCATCCTGATCTTCTTCTTTGGTTGTTCATCTGCCTCTTCCTCTATCAATAAGCGGCCTCTCTTTTGACCAACTTGATGTATAAGCTTTAGAGAAGATGCAAGGGAGATTAGACAAAACCAAAATAATGTTTTTTTAAATGACAGATGCAAAATATGAACATACCTTCTGAGCACCATCAGTGTTAATTGGTCTGACATCTGGATTTGGACCTACTACACTATCAAAAAGCGATACACATTTTGCATAGTTGGGTTCTTCGTCAAACTTCAAATTGACCACATACTCTACAAACTCTTTGAAGGGTTGTGGGCAAAAGCAACAGAGAGATTCTGGAGAGGTAGCCATTTTCTTCTTGCAGACAAGGAAGCCTTTGTTTTCACCCTGTAGATGCAAAATAAACATCAAGTACAGAAATACATCACTCAAATCAATAAAATTGGCTGGAGGATCCACATTTTACCTGATAACCTTGCCAAGGTAGACGTCCCCGTAGAAGAAAGACTAGCGTGTATGCTAGAGATTCTAAATCATCCCTCCTGCTACCTATTCTCCCAAGATGTGCATGAACACTAGCATAGCGAACTGTTCCCCTGAAACAGCAGCATTAACAATGTAACATAACAGTAAGACTAGTACCTCCTTCAGTTGATTCAACTATGAGAAGCATAAGCACCACAGGTTTACTAGCTACTGTGACAATATGTTGAGTGTACCATCTCAACAGAGACTAAAAGATTGATTCCATGTCTAGTGAAAGAATGGCTACTACCACGCATGCCAATCAGGACCATTTCACCAGTAGTGACTAGAATAGGTGAGTTCAATGCAACAAGATGTTGAAAAAGAGTAAAATACTGTACTGATTCTATAAGGCTAAGGAAACAAGCAAGCTCACAAGCACAGGGAGAGAATAAATGGAAGACAATAATGGTTGGCTGAAAAGTGAAAACTGTTTACAGCAGTGGTAATTTCTGGCGTAATGGCTGGATTAAGGATTACTGGGAAACAGCAAATGGACAGGAAATGTGACAGGATAATCAACGTCATCATTTATGTGCTAGGGGTAATGCAAGTGATGCCTATCATAAAAGCTTCATCTGGTTACCTGAAAACATCTGGTCGCTGATCATATTCAACGTGTTGCCCTGTTGCACTATCCTTCCACTTCGTAGCTGCCATCAGAAGATCCAAGAATACAAAATTATTTACACGCCTAATCTGTTGTCTACATACAGAACAGACAAATTCAAATAATCGTAGATGCTGCCAGTTGAGCAATAAAAAAGTAAATTAACTTACCTAAACCAAGATCAACAAGGAAGAGTTTCTTTTCTTCAGGTGTCCCAGGAGTCCCTAACAAGAAATTCTCTGGTTTGACATCGCCATGAACATACCTGAAATCCCAAACTTTTTTATTTTAAAATTTTGCCAGCGGATGAAAGAAATACATAGAGGATAAGGAGTTACAAGGAAAGAATAATCAGTGGTGTTAACTGACCCTTTTGAATGCATTTTCTCAAGTATGGAGATTGATTCAATAGCAATACAAGCAACCATCTCACGTGACATTCTGCTAGCAAAGGAATGACGTTAATGGTAAACTAAAAGTCAATATCAAGTGTCGACTCAAAACTATGACTCACGTGTGAGAGTTATTATTCCAGACATCCCAAAGACTGGGTCCGAGCATATCCATAACCTGAATTTTTAAGACCAAGTTAACTAGTATCTAAAAACGATCAGAAATAATGAAGCTAATACTTCAACAATCCAAACAAAGTGTTATACCATAACAAAGTAATCCCCTTGGCGTCCTTTGTAGTGGACTCGGGGAACCCCATGAATGCCACCGACGGCGCTAAACGTGCAATAACCATGAAAACCGATCAGCTACCCATGAGTTGAATGATCTCCGAAAGACTTACACCTTCTCATACCCAGATCATAAGATCATAGATTGACTTACTTGTAAACTGCCCACTCATAAGGAGGGCCATAGTGACATCCTTTACTGGTCCTATGCTCAAACTTCAGTGCCACCTAAGATAGAAAGGAACACGGCTTACTCTCCAGTGCTAATACAAACCACAATTCCAGTTTTCCATGTCGACTGGTACTAAAGAAAATCCTCTATTACCTCAACAGCACCTGGACCAGTAGCTAACATGCGGTGGCCAACATATACTTGGCCAAAACCACCTTTCCCGAGCTTCTTCTCGACTCTATACTTTGGTGAACTACCCACCTGGACCTGTATTTATAGAACAAGCAGGCAAAGATTAAACCAAAATCATTTGGAAGTGGAATGATCAGAAGCAAACTAGAAGGGAACGCCTTTGCGCAGGCAAAGCATACAATCTCTCGGAATCATCTCAGAGAGCTCAACACAATCGAAGCGCAGCAGGCACAATTAAACATCGTACGAACAGCTCACCGTGTCAGGGACAGGGGGGCTGCCCTCGTCATCGGCTAGCTTGTCGGCGCTGTCCGCGTCGTCCATCCCACGCTCCCCCTCGTCGTCGCCGCCTTCCCCCGCGACGACCTCCACGGGTCTGATCTCCTCCCGCTCCCTCTCCTCCGCCCTCGTCACCCTCCGCCTCTTCTCCGCCGGCGGTGGTGCCGGTGCCGGTGCTGCTGCTGCCGCCGCCGCCTCCGGTGCTTTGTCCTCAGCCGCCGCCGGACTCCCCTGCGCCTCTCGGGCCCTTCGCGCGGCGCTACGCAGCACAGGCATCCTCAACCACGAAGCCCCATGGCCCCGCCTCAGCTTACTGCTCCGCCTCCTCCTGAGATTCCACCGCCGATCTCAGGAAGGAGCTGAGGAGGGGAGACCCAAGCGGCGGCGCGCGGTGGCTGGCACCGCGGACCAGGACGCTAGCTAGGGTTCGGGTTGGTGTGGGGCAGAGCAGACGCGATGTGATGGGGAGTGGGAATGGGGAAGGAGGCGGGGCAGGCGGCGGTGGTGCTGATGTAACACTGGCTGCTGGAGATGCGAGAGAGTTTTGAGGCAGTTCGTTGCGGCCTGCGGGAAGGGGAATGGATTTGCCACCGTTGTGTGTGTAATCGTCGCCTGGCAGTGGCATCAGCCCGTGCGCGGAAACACGGAGCTCGTGGGAAGCGACGTCGTGATGGAGTGACCTTTGTTTTGCTTCGGGGACGTCAGAGGCTACACTAAAACTTCTACGCACCTCTTGTTCTTGCCATCCATCACATGGCACGAGGGATGAAAACGGATAGGATACGAACGAATATCACTCATATTACATTTGTTTTCACATTTCTGTCTGGATTTGGATTCGAAACGGATAATGTCAACCATGCCGATAGGATACGATTGGATATCGACATCATAAATATGCGATTTGAGTATTTGGATACGGATACGGTATCGGATGTTAAATATCCGGACTCGGATATGGATAAATCTTAACTCCTCCAAACGGATTCAGTCTCAAATACAATCAGAAAATATCCGTACCATTTTCACACCTATATGGCATCCATGGCGATTGGACAAGGAATGTTTGATACCAACACAAGGTAGCACGCTAGCCTCTGCCAATTGATGTTACAGTCAAGGAACGAAACATGAATAGGATACATCAACGTTTTTCCTCACCAGTGATAGCGACTAGAGGTTTGCTATATCAACCAAAGAAGGTCATGAAGCATGATAATAGGCGCTCCCACTACATAGACAATATGGCCCATTCGGCTTACCTTAAAAGCCGGCTTGTTCGGCTTCTTTTTTCAGCCGAAACAATGTTTTTCTCTCACAACAATTCAGTTTTGACTTGTTTTTTTTAGCCAATTTCAGCCAAACAAACGGGGCCAATATACAGGTGTAGAATGACATTGGCAAGAAAAGAGATGTAGAAGTCGTAAATGACCATAATATTATTTTATTTCAATATAGATCTAATGTGTGTGTTCCATGTCATCTTCATGTAGGATTTGTGATTACGCTACGTTGGACAATACGCCCAACTCTAGTATTGCGTGTGAACCCATGCATTAAGTTGATATCATGAACGACAAAGAGACACAAAAGCTATTTAGTGCGCAAAAGATGTTTGCATACAAGTAACGTAAAAAAAACTAATACAGCCCGTTATGCATAAAACAATGAAAAGGCAAGATCGATATGGAATGGAATGAAGTGCATAGCAATATTCTAATTTTCGAACATGTAGTCATAGCTCAGCTCCAAAAACATATAGTCACAACTCACGACATTACACATCTTCGTAAAAAGAGATATCACCCTTTTGCCAAGATAAGCATGCAAAGCTCAAACAAAGCAGTGCTAGAACTGAATTTTTTTGTCCAAAATTAATAAATCAGGAAATGTTGTGAAATTAGTACCTGTAATTTTTGGTCCAAAATTAATAAAGCACGAAATGTTGAGAAATTACTACCTGTGGTAAACTCTGGTGTACGCACAGCAGATTCCATCAAACTTCCCCTATACTATACCGCCTGTTTCGGTGTTTCCCCGAGCGGGGCCTGCTGGAGCTCTGAAATTTTGGACTCGTTTCCGCAACCTCGTCGGCAAATTGAAAAATCACTGGCTTCGCGCCGAAGGGTCGCCCGCCAGCGCCACCACAACGATGGCTCGGACGGATGGGCTCCCGCCTCCCGGGCTTCGCGCTTGGGCGGGATGAAAAGGGCAGTGCAGGAAACGGCCCGCTTCTACTCTACCGAAGTACCGATGGTTGACGGGCTCCCGTGCTGTAATGATTCCTGCGAAGCAGTCCAAATCCCCCCTCCGCTCATGCCTGCCTGCCAAAGTGCCAATCCAAGCTGTCAATGATTCACCATCGGCCCCGCTACCCGACGCGGTGCCGGCGTGCCGGTGCGCGGTCCCGGTCTCCCGGACCAGCCGGAAGGGACGCGTGCCTAACGCCCGCTCTACCAAACCGAGTGGCGTTCGTGATTTGCCTGCGTCAAGCCGCTTGGAGCACTGTGTGCACCAAACGAGCCCTTGCAAAACGACGAACTGCTACAGTATACTGTACTTACCAAAACGAGACCTTATGTGAATTCTCTGCGGTCAAAACGGGAATAATTGTAATGAAAGAAAGATCCCTCTAGATTTCAAGTGCCCGACAGTTTACTCGAGACTCGAGAGTACAGGAACTGGCTCAATTGGGTTGTGTTGTGTGTGGTATATTATGTCAAGGTGTGCATACAAGCTGGTACATACTCAGTCTGACTCATCAATGAGTGTAAAAGAATGGATTATATAGCCCACGGCCAAACAACGAATGCTACTATACTTTACAAAAGATGGGGAAGATGAAGAAAATAATAGGGGAAAAAAGAAATAGGAGGGTTAATAGCCCACGTTCGCTTGGCTTATAAGCCGTACTTTTTCAACCAACGAACAATATTTTTCTCTCACAACAAATCAGCCAACAGTACTTTCAGCCATGGCTTATCAGCCAAGCGCACAGGGCCAGTGGGGAATGCCTAAATCAACAAGATATACGAAGGGCACAGAGACTATGGGCTATGGCAGGTTTGCCCTGGCCAGATCCCCCATGGCTGATCCTTCTCTGGATGCGAAGTCCTGTAGCATTCAAACAAATTGAACAACAAAATTCAGTTGAAGGTTCATATGCACATGAATCTAGCCCACCTAGCATGAGCATATGTGATAGCATGGTTGAGTACCTGAAGGCGGTGTAACAAGTGCATCAAGAACAAATGCACGAACACCTGGTGTGGCCAAAACAGATTTATAGTCAGAAAGAAGTCTTAATTTGTTTTTTTTAAAAGGGGCTAACATAGAGGAAATTGAAGTTATGCGGTTCGTGCCAGATAGAATAGCAGGCTGACTCGTGCAACAGGATGTCGCCACAAAAATCTTGTTGCACGCACAGCTCCTGTATCTAAAAGCTTTGCAGCCTTTTGTAACTGGAACAAAGATGTATAGAAAACAAGGTTAATCTTGACAATTCATTTCCTGTAATTTAAAAGGGTGTAAATCTTCAGACTAGCACTGGTCATATCTACCTGCTGATTTGCTGTTGCCATGTGTCGATGATGTAGAGGAAGAGGCCTACAATATGCATACTTAATTGTCTAAGAATGTACTAGAGTTTGCAAATAGATGGATACACTTAAGACTGGATGCCATCAATTATCATGAAATCCAAGAATGATGAGAAACACAATTTTCACGTGCGAAACAGTTAACGTACTCTAATGCCTTGATATCAGTATCTTCCTCCCACGAAGATGCTGATCTGCGAGTAGCTTTACTCCTTTCTGCTTCGATCTATCAAATGGAGGCCATAACAAAAGGGCAGCAAGATAAGAAAATCTGCAGTTAAACTTGTTAGGACAAACAGCAACAGAATGATGAGAAAATAACAACCTGCACTTCATGAAATTGTTTCAATGATTTCTCCAGTTGGAACTCCAATGCGGCCTTTTTGCTGGCCATGGATTCCAATTGTGTTTGCTTGTGGTACTGGAAGAAGGATCCATACAGAATCAAATTAGCTCTCAATGTTAAAGAGTGCCAAGGACGCAGAAGAAACGGACAGCTTGATTGCATACCAGCAAGTCAGTTAGCTCACGGTATCTCTTCTCAAGCTCAACATGCTCCTAATAAAAAACAAGAAACATTCAAACATTCACAGAAATAAGTGCTCCATAGGATATTTAACAACCTAAATATGTATGACTTGGTTAGGGTCAAGGAAAGTAACATCAACAACTTAGCAACAAATATTTCACCTGTCTAGAATAATGTTCTGCATCTCTTCTCATTCCAGCCATTTCAACTCTCATTTTCTGTAACTCAGCCTGCATTGTGAAAATAAGGGAGCAGTAACGTGTAAATACAAAACTATACCCTTAACAAAGGTTATCATGAAAATAAAATTTGATAGTCCTATCTATAACTTAAAAATCAAACCATGCACATCCAGCAGTACAACAAAAAATATGAAGAAAATACTGAATCTTTAGTTGGGTGATGAAATTAATGTCACCTCCAAGGACGATATCTTTGCCTCTGCCTCTCGTTGGCTTTGGCGTGCACGCTCAACTTCTTCCTGCCAAGCCTGCATCTGTTCCCACACCAGTAAGAGATATACACACATTAGGACAACCCTGACCAGTAAGACACCTTGTGCAACAAGTGCATTCCACATCAAAGGCATGAAGTACAACTCAAAGTTGAGTCCTCAAAGACAAAAGGATGTTTTAATTTTGACCTGAAGAACTTGATTAGCTTCTTCGGAAGACTTTTTCTGTGTACGGCGATTACGAGCCTCCATCTCCTGTAGTTCTTGTTGCAATGAAGCACATTCAACCTAGGATAACCAGAATATTCACGGTAAATAGGATAAACAAACCAGCTCATAGCCTAGTGTGCAAAACACAAGGTGGGAAGGAATGTACCTCAAGCACAGCGACCTTGTGCTCCAATTCCAGCGCTCTTGATGAGCTTTGATCAGCAGCTCTCTGGATGACATCAGAACACTTAAGATCAGCATTAGAGTATCATCAGTTATATTAAGAAAGTATATGTTACCAATTACTTCCTCTGGTCACAAAAAAGTGATGTCTTGGGGTTTTATGAAGTTATTAATTGTTTCAAACTTTGATTACAAATTACGTACTTTTGATGAGTTCGAGTTTGGATGTTTGAAAATGATAGGAGTAGATATGTATTGAAAAGTAGTTTCATAGCAGTATACCTTTGGTATGTGTAGCAAA